GCTTCCATTCTTCTTGCTGCTGGTGTTATCATGGTTGTGATTATGATTGGCTTGTGATTATTGACCTTCCCCATGCATGGACCCTACCCTGGATTCCCTACCAAACCGGGATCCCAAAAAGGGATCCTTGTAGTGAAGACTAATGTTTCACCTGGGCCACAGCGACCAGAGCTAATTAATGGAAAAGGCAAGACAAAGTTTTGCTGCTTGCCATGAGTGGACAGGGCTGCCTGCGCGTGAAGAGGGCACAGGCTCATTGCGAACACATGAAGAACCACTGGATTCGACGCACCACCTAATGGTTAAGTCCGAAACCCCAAACCCGATAAACCCTAAGTCCAATCAATCCTAAACCAGAAGCCCTGAATCCTAACAGTGTAACCGTAACCTGAACCCTAGATCGAATACATCTTAAGCCTTAAACTCGTAAACCGAGATCGCCCTGAAGTGCAAGTGCGGCGGATCTTTGGAGCACTACCGCCATAAAAAGCGGCCGCTACAAGATGAGCCGTCATCCGTGGGGTTCCTTTATACTTAGGGTTTAGGGGTTTGGGGGTTTGGGGTTCAGGGTTGGGGGAATTATAGTCCTATAAGATAACATACCCCCCAAGCCCTTCTTCCAATGAGTGACATAAAATCCTCCCGAGCACTGTTCAGAGCTCGTCGAATCCGGTAGTAGAGTGAGATGCGCCCACTTGTCGGCCACATGTTTCGTAGGGACCGAAGAGACTTGCAACAGGATCCACTCGCGCGGAAAACGAAACCGACAGATGGGTTGAGTCATCTTTGTTGTAAGTAGAGGTGGTATCAAGTTTCGGTACTAAGTATTTGCAATATGAAACGAAGGAAACTGCGTACGGTGGTGGTGGTGGTGGTGGTGGTGGTGGTGGTGGTGGTGGTGGTGGTGGTGGCTGGTCGTGGTGGTCGGCAGCATTGGTCTCAGTAGTCCTCGTCGACGACGACGAATTGTTCCTGCAACCCGTTGCGTAGCACTGGGTTGAAGTGAGCACAACGGGGGATACGAGCGGAACCGGGGATACGAACAAAAGGGCACGGAAAAACCGACAGTGCAGCCCAAACCCCGAAGCACAGAGCCGTGAAGTTGACACGATCCCATTAACGCCCAAATCATAAACACCTAAAAATCCTCAACACAGAAGCTACAACACCTCTCTCAAACCCTAAACCCCCCCAAACCCCTGTAGAACCCTTGCAAGCCCCTCATAGAACCCTCATAGAACTGATAGTTTCTCAACCCCAGCCACGCCTTGAAGCCAAATTGGTTCGAGATTCCGTGGCGCCCGGAAGTGCCGAAAAAAGGAAGAGCCATGGACATCGTCGCCCCCACCAGGGCCCCCTCTTTGCCACAGTCCACACAGCCGTTTCGTGGCCCGGCAGCTGAACCTAAAACTGGGCTTTGGAGTACCATGCGTCAATATATGTTTTTTTTGGGGTCCTGTTCCTTAAAGGAACCATTATGAAATACAAGTCTATACTCTTTTCTCCCTGGTTACTTCAAAGCCCAGAAAAAGTGCAAGCACCCCCATTCTCGAAGCCAAACTAGTTATCAACGTCACGCCTTGGGTTCCTAAACCCGAAACCTAGTATAGGGGCCGAAATAAGTTGGGGGAGGTCCTTTTCTATAAGTATAGTATAATATAGTGGGCCTTCTTGTAATTAAGGCCCCTACAGTAGTGTATAGCTATGAAGGTTCGGTTATTTTACGCGAATCCTGAAGCTTAAAGGTTCGTTGCTTGCTTGCAGCACAAGGAACCCGAGCCCCTGTTTAGGGTTCAGGGGTTTAGGGGATTCGGGGTTTTCCTGGTTTAGGGTTGAGGGTTGAGGGGTTAAGGGTTGAGGGGTTTCGAGTTTAGGGTTTGGGGTTCAGGGAGTTTTGAGGTCCCTACACTAGAACATTTGAAGCTTGAGCCCGTAACCCTCGGCCTCTCAACCTCTAAACCTTGAACCCCAATCCCGGAACCTCTAAACCTCTAAACCCTGAACCCCTAAACCTCTTAGCACCGAAACCTCGGAGCCCCCAACCTGGCCACTCAAGAAGCCAATGCTCTCCAACCAGAGTTCTTTCGTTGTCCAAGCTACTATAGCTGGGCTTTGGGGGTTTAGGGTTTAGAGGTTTACGGGTTTGGGGTTTAGGGATTCTGGTGTTTTTTATTGGCTTCATGGTGTGTTCTTGTGTTGACCAGACACCCGAGGTCGGATTATCGGGGTGTGGGTAGTAGAGTTTGGTTCTCCGAGCTTGGGCTTAAAAAGCCTGCCCCCTTTTACCCTGCTTGCTAAGCCCTAAACTGGGTTTCTGTTGAGGAGCTTAGTTTAAGTTACCATAGTCGGGATCTATCGTAAATAACGGGGTTTCTTTACTATGGCAACTTAAGTTAAATCCCTTGACAAGAACCCAGTAAATTGCCAAACTCCTATCCCCTCAATCCCGTGTAGTTCCGAACCTGCAAAGCCCGGGCCCAACAAGGAATTGACAGGCAAGCATACACATCTTAAGCCCGGCCTAGGGTCCAGGGTTTCGGGTTTAGGGTGCAGGGTTCGGGGCTTAGGATCTAAGCTAGGGCTTGGGAGCTTGGATGTAGGATCTGGGGTTCAGGGTTCAGGATATATAAGCTGTCGGATTTAGTGTCTGGGATTTCGAGTTTCGGGTTTAGCTTGGGGTTGAGGTTTTGGGTCGTAAGATTCCAACAGAGTCCTTGAAAGAACTTGTAGTACGATGTTGAATTTATGAGCCCCCGCCTCTTCCACAAGTTGAACGGCAAGCACTCTAAGTACATTGAGCTCCGGTAGACTGGTTCATAGACGTATCCCTAAAGCCTAAACCCTACACCCCAAACCTACAAGCCTCCCAGGTCTCTTCTCTTGCTCTTCAAGGAACCCCATCCTTATTGTGAGGGCCCCTATATGGTGGGTTCTCTTACTTCGGGTACATCTTGTTGGGGATCTCAAAAAGGGGACCCTAAGTTGGAGGCCCCTTCACCAACCCCTGAAAAAGCCCTCACAGGAACCCTGAGATTCAAGCATTCAGCCCGAAGCACCGAATCTATAAGGTCCCCATAAAATCAGGATCCGTCGCCTCCTTGGCAGAGCGGAGGCCGTTTCGGCGACAGTTTGTTTACGGTTCGGGCGCGAGTACCTCTGTGGCTGCCTGTAAGGTTCTTCTAAGGTTCCAAAAGCATTCCATTTGGGCTTGGGGCTTCAGGGAGAGGGGTCTTCGATTCAAACGTCTGCAACACACACACACACACACCGTCGTGTGCAGCTTTGAGCTTTGGGGGGGGGGGGGGGGTGTTTTCAGCGCTTGGGGCGTTAGAGTTTCAGGGTCGACAGTTTTCGGGTTTGGGTCTTTAAAATGTTTGGCTTATTGGGCTCTCGGGTTCAAGGCAGTTCGTCGACCCCGATCGCCTGAACCCCTATCCTCAACCCGGTAGCGGCCGGCAGCAGCAGCAGCAGCACCACAAGCACCATCAAGAAAAGCTGCCAAGAAGCTAGACATCCATGATGTAACCTTGTATCGCGCATTGGCTTGCTGCAATTGATAGTTCTGCTTCTTCCTAAAGAACATGTATTGGTTGACTGCTCTTCTACGAAAACAGATACTGACTCAGAAAAGGGAATTGAAGTCGCATTCCCTTCATGACTCCTATGACGACTTCCCGAGTTCGAGTTTCCTAAAGGGGAACCCTATAATACTGTGACAGCAAATTTACATAGACTATCATGGGACTTGTACATCAGGTAGCCACTTACATGATCCTCCAGGTAGGTGTGCGAATTCCCAAAAGCTCTAAATTTTAAACCTTCGGCGAGCCGATAGCCCCAAACCCCGAAATCTAAACCCTCAATCCCTCGACTCCACACGCTGCTTCAGCCTTTTCCCCCTATACCCACGGTTGGGACCCAAAGAAATTGGAAACTCCCACTGTTCAACTGCATACTGTCAGATCTAGGCCCCCCCCCTCCCGGGTTTAAGGTATGGGATCGTGCAATACTAGTCCGATTACTAGAGGATACGTGGTGGAGTGGTGTCAACCGGTTTCGTGCTGGTCATGTAGGCCTCAGCGGTTGCAAGCTCTTTCTTTGCAGGGCTTAAGTGTTTAGGGACATTCCCGCAAAACTACAGAGTCAGCAGATCCGGCACGAGGGCCCGATCCCGATACCTTGCATACGCCTACATCCTCGTCTCTTCCTTGCAGCCGTTTTGAGAGGCTGAAGTGGGGAGAAGAAGAGGGGTTGTTGTGTTTATGCGTGCAAAGCATGTAAAAAAATGCGTATACACCCTAGCTGCAGCAACAACAGCTGTAGCTATCTTTACATCTTGATATTCGTCGCTGTTATTAGAGTACAACTTACTAACAGAGACCCAGAAAGCTCTCGCACCCCATCTCCGGAAAGATGTCCTCAACATCAAGTCCGCTAGCCCTAGAACTCCTATACCGCAAAGCCCGAAAGTCCCGACACCCTAAACCCTACACCCCGCAACATGTGCTTCGTCTGGCTATGGCTGGCCTTCTTCGCCGAGCGAAGTTGGGCTCAGCCAATATTGTCAGCTGCTGGGCTCTTGTTAAGGAGTTTAGCTTAATGTTACGATAAAAGGGATCTATAGTAAGTAATAGAGTTTCGTTTAATGTTACCATGATAGGGATCCATAGTAGATAGTAGGGTTTAGTTTAATGTTACCATGATAGGGATCTATAGTAGATAATAGGGTTTAGTTTAAGCTACCATAATAGGGATCTATAGTAAACAACAGGGTTTGGTTTAAGCTACCGCAATAGGGATCTATGGTAAATAGTAGGGTTCAGTTTAAGCTACCATAATAGGGAACTACAGAAAGTAATAGGGTTTAGTTCCAGCTACCACAATAGGGGTCTATAGTAAATAATAGGGTTTAGTTTAAGCTACCATAATAGGGATCTATAATAAATAATAGGGTTTCTTTATGATGGTAGCTTAACTTAAACCCCTTAACAAGAACCCAGGCTGACAAATGGAGCGGATGCGGGGAGGCGAATCTACGGCTCAAAAACAGGGCTCCTTAATTCCAGGATTTCTTTTCAGGGTTCTACAAAAACAGGGCTTATTAGAACGGGTTTATGATATAGGGGCCTTACTGGTTTGAATCGGGTCTTGGGGGATTTGATACACCCACCCCGCTCGAATTAGTAAGGCCCGATGCTAGAGGAATTCAAGCGTCTCGGCTTCTGGTGTATGACTTTTGAACTCTTCTTTCCAAAATCTGGAAGTTTTTTTACATGATCCCAAACTTGCACTTCGGAAAGAGCACATACTCATCGAGTTGGCGGCTTGAGGGTTCGTCCGGTTGTGCGACCCTAGATGCTTCAAAACGCGTTTATGGCGTTCTGAATGTCTCTAACATCTTCATGGTCGTAAAGATTACTGTGGGACTTGTCGGCATTGTCGCATATCTTCGGAGCCTTCTACACACCCCAGATCTTGACCCTCAAAACCCTATATATGGACGGCTTAGACTTGTTGATATACATAGATATATATATATATATACAGCTTCCAGAGGATTAGCTAGTGGAAGACGTAGCGGTCTGAGGGTCCATGCGTTTGGTATACAGCCCTCAAGCCGCGAACTCCAAACCCCAATCCCCCCTACCCTTTGTTTCTGGAGGTGGTCGCTGATGCGCCCCTCCTTTATTTTCAACCTTGCGCGACCTCCGAATGGGAAGTCCTACTGACTCTCGGCTAACACAGACGCCTACATGGCTACCAATTCTTTCCTTAATGTGTGTACTTGCAGGGACTGTTAATGGATACTCTGCGGTGTTCACCGTTGATTCCTTAACTTGACTCGTCCGTTTTTGTCCATCATTTGTTCACTTTCAAGTTGAACTACCCTGGTCTCAGGTTCTGTGAATCTCTCTTTTCTGGTAGAAGGTGCCGCCCCACCCCTTGTTCAGGTTGCATTTCAAGGACATTCTGTTTCTGCTTTCGAGCTCAGGGCGTATAAGGTTAATGTGGACCAGGGCTGAGGGTTTTGGGTGCTACAGTGTCGACATGTCAAAAAGCCCGAAACGGTAGACAGCCAACCAGAACCTCTGGAACAAAGAGAAACCTCTCCTCAATTCCAAAATCGCACACAGCCCCAATTGCAGGTAGCAGATGTCAAGAGTAAGTGGCAATAGGCATAGTGATCAGAACAAGACTAGAACAATAATCACACTAATACAGATATAGTACCAACGATAGGAATCTATCAAGACTAGTAGTAGTGATACGAATGACCAAGAAGCAAACACTGGACCAGTTTTTTATACCTCGGAAAGCCAAGCCACCGATCCCCAACCAACAAACTAAGTACTCTAGGGGCCTAAATATATACAAATACTATTTTGGGAGCCCCTTGTTATAATGATAATATATTGCAAAACCCTATTCTGATGTTTAAGGCCCCGACGTTACTGACTTAGTGCTTCGGGCTCTGACTGTCGGCTTTCGGGCTTTGGGTTTAGGGTTTACGGGCTCATTGAACCGAATAGATGTGTTGGCCGCTTTATTCATACTGAAAAGATGCAGGAGTACTCCCAGAACCTGCCAACCCCCATACCCTAATCCCCTCAAGCTCGGCTTAGATATCCACGCCTTAACCTTAAACCCAAATTTTGGGGTTCTGACAACAATTAGTATTCTATCCTTGGGGTTCAGGACAATCCTGACCAGGGTGTACCTCTATAGGCACCCTGCACGGCCACAGGCTTTACTGCATGAACTCAACCCCTAAACCAAGGTTGGGTGCATGGGCTTAGACCCTGAACCGTAGCCCCTTTGACCCTAAATTCTAAACCCCAAACTCTAAACCTTCTTCGGCCACCTTAGACTCTAAACCTTGTTAAACCTCAAAAGGGTTTGGTTTAGCTTTTGGTGTTTGGAGTTTCGTTTTGGGGGTCCGTAGGGTTGAGGGTGTGATCAGGGCTCTGAGGGTCCCTCGGGGGTGCCCTAAGGGTTTAGAAGCTCCTTTAAGTGTTCCATCATCTGACCTGTCGGGTTTGAAAGGCAAAATATGTACTCTTCGAATCTCAGAGCCCGCCACTACAGCCAAATGAACTTTTCAGTGCTACGGTTTAGGGTTTATAGAGTTTAGGGGTAAGTCCTACTTATAAGGCCTACAGAATCTTGAACCTTAAGCCGCCGAACCCTCTGCATCCGCAACTCCCGGACCCTTCCTAAGCCTTAAGCTGCCGAAGCTTCAGCCTTGCATAAAACGTAGGGTTTGGGGTTTAGGGGTTTAGGGGGTTTAGGGTTTAGGGGTTTAGGGATTTAGGCGGTTTAGGGTTTAGGGGTTAGGGAGGGGCCTTAACAATTAGAAGAGGGTTTTGGGCCCATTCATAGTAAAATCAGAATAAGAAACCATGAGGAATAATATTTGTAAGTATTTAGGCTTCTATACTTCTTCAAGGAAGCCTTAAGGGGACCCCAGTATAGAACCCTGAAGTACCCGTTAAAGGGGACCTGATTATAGAAGCCTATGCTACCCATTGAAGGGAACCCTAAACCCTATAGACCCCGTAAAGGAACCCTTAAGGGAACCCCCAAGAGCCCGGCATTCTGGAAACTGTGTCTGACCAGGACCGACACCTTCAGCACGCTCAGGCCCAAAAATAATAGGGTTGAGGGTTTAAGTTTAAGGGTTTGAGGGTTTACGGTTTAGGGTTTAGGGCTTAAGGGTTGAAGGTTTACGGTTTTGTTTAGGGTTGAGGGTGTAAGGGTTTAAGGTTCAAGGGGCCTAGGCAAGTGGAGTATGGTTTGAGTTGGAGTCTTTAGCAGTGTGATCGGCCAGGGAAATGTCAAAGAATTTGGCTGAGGTGTGCGGCTTGAGTGGTTGTGAAGTTCCCTAGACCACAAACCCAAGAGTTCTATAGGCTTGTTTAGACCTCTAGCAAGGCTAATGCCTGAGCCTTTGATATGGTGAGCTCCATCTGGAGGACAAAACACAATTACGGTTCATGCCTAAGGCCTTTGTTGTCTCCTGAAAAGAATTCTGAAAAAAAAGTTTTTGCTAACCTGCATAGAAACAGCCCTAAGCCCCAAATCTAATTATTCGAGCCTGAAAACCCTGTTTCTAAAGCCCTACTTGCAATTACAACAGCCCTAAACACATACTTCTGACTATCTAAGCCCCCTAAACCCCGAACCCTAGAACCCGAAAAAGCCCCGAGAGCCCGAACGACACAAACTCTGCAGCTCGTGGCAGGAGGGCGCGGAATGTGTCGGCATTGCTGTGGCTTCCCAAGTCGGACAACATCCAGGGGTGCCTTAGCAAAGTCTTTAGGGTCTAGTGGGTTCGTAAGCTTCAAGCTTTTTGTGACTAGGGCTTCGGGTTTTGGGGCCTGTATGATTTATCATATGTAGGTTTAGGGATACTACATCATACCATGATCTCTGTTTTGACTCATGAGCTCGGCAACTGAGGTGTGGGGCGCACCCGGCGAACCACTTCCGAGACAGAATCTCGACCATAGTGTGGGCCTTCAGGGTGTAGGGTGTATGTTGCAGGTTGGGGGGGGGGTATCGCGAAAGGTCTACCGCGGAGCTTTCGCTTCTAAAGTGGAGCAGTCAGGCGATTTAGGGTGTGTCTTAGCGCAGACCCTGATTACGGGGCTCTTGTTAAGGGGTTTAGTTTAAGTTACCATGTTCAGGAAACCATGCTATTCACTTTAGATCCCTATTATGGAAACTTGAACTAGATTCCCTTAAGAAGCCCGGGAAACCTTCGCGCCAATGGACATTCAAGGGTTTAATATAAGGGCCTAAATGATTTCCAAAAATATTTTGGGGCTCCTTATTGTGAATATAGTACAGTATACCCCCAAACTCCATTCTAATTTATTAAGTCCCCTTGTTCCCTACACCCTTTTTGTAGCCCTTACAGAAACCTGTACAGGAACCCTTTAAAGGAACCCCTACGAAACCCTATTCTCAGTATGAAGGCCCCTGTACCCTAAACCCTTTTTGTAGCCAAGGAACCCTTTCATTTGAAGGAACCCCTATGGAACCCTATTCTTTTTATGAAGGCCCTTATATTAGGGAGGGTTGAGGCTGTGGAGACGAGGGTTTAGAGTTCAGGGCCGGCCTTGAGGGGTTTGGGGTTCAGGGTTGGTTTCGGGTTTAGGGTTTGGAGTTTAGGTTTTAGGTTTAGGGTTTCGGATTTAGGTTTAGGGTGTAGGGTGTAGGGTTTAGGGTTTAGGGTTTAGGGCTTAGGGTGTAGATTCAGCAGCTCCGGATCGAGCAGTATCTAGTCGAGCCTGCTGTTTGGATCTTGGCAAAAGACCCACCCATCACAGGGTTCGGACCTTGCCCACGAAGCCTTGCCCACGAAGAGACAACCCTGGCCCACCAAGAAACGACCCTGGCCCTTGCCGACGAAGAAACCCACGGAGAAACGACCCTTGCCGACGAAGAAAAGACCCTTGCCCACGAAGAAACGAACTCGACCCTTGCCTACGCTTTTGCCGACGAAGAAACGGCCCTTGCCCACGAAGAAACGGCCCTTGCCGACGAAGAAACGACCGTTAAGGGGTTCTTGGAGGAGGCTTGCGGGACCCTTTTGGCCCCGAGCCTTGAAACCTAAACCCTAAACCCCAAACACCTCTCCACAAACCTGAGGAATTGCGCTTGTGCAGCGTGGCGGATGCTACTTCTCTTGGAAGGCGGTCCTGGCCGAGGATGGGCGCTGTCCGAGTCTGAAGGGTTTAGGTTTTAGGGTTTCCGAGTTTCAGGGTTTAGAGTTTCATTAGGGTTCCCGAGTTTAGGGTTCAGGGTTTGGGGTTGTTGGGGTTCGAGCTTTGGGCGTCGAACCAAAGACCCTAAACCCGAAAGCCTTAAACCTAAAGCCGCTAAACCCTAAACCCCTTACAGCCCCATGCCTGTGTTCTTAAAGGCCCAAGCCCTAGACCCCCTTACACCCCCATGCAAGCCCTGTGAGTTTAAGGAAGTTCCCACTTCCCGAGTAGAGAGCTTTCATCCGGATCATCCGGAGGGTTTAGGGTTCAGGGTGTAAGGTTTAAATTTAGGGGTAACGGTCTAGGGGTTTAGGGTTTAAGATTTAGGGTTGAGGGGTTTGGGGTTTAGGGTCCAGGTTTCTGGGTTTAGGATTTAGGGTTTGCGGTCTCCTGTCTAGCAAGCAGCCAGCCTAAGCTTCAACGAGACACAAGAAAGCTAGCCCAGCTCCTGAACCCTGTCAACCCTGAAGATCCCCGAACCCCTAAGCCCTAAACCCTAAACCCCTAATTAAGCCCCACACCACTACTCTGATCAGTGAGTTGTGGTGCAAGTGTTGGAGGAAGCCGGTGCTTTGGCGATTGTGATGTACGACACCACCGCAACTTGCTTTCCCAACCAGGTTTGAGTTTAGGGTTTAGGGTATGTGGTTTTAAAGGTTCAGGGTTTAAGGTTTGGGGTATTTAGCTTACAGCTTTTGGGGTTTCGGATTTGCAGGTCCTAGGGCGTAGAGCTTCTAGTGGTTAGAGGGTTTCGGTTTTCGGTGAGCTCTTCAGGGTGCAGAACTCTGCACTCGCAGTGGCATTTTGCGGATTGAAAGTTCAGGACTCAGGCTCGTGATATAGAAGCCTGAGCTTAACAATGCGATTCCTCAGGGTTCCTTTTCATAATTGTGGTACAACATTCTCCAAAATCCGAGGCTAATGATTTACGCCCTTGTATTTCAGAACCCTCGTAGTAGCCCTGACATCGAACCCTGAAAAGGAACGTAAAGGAACCCTTTAACCGAACCCTTAAAGGAACCCTTAGTATGACGACATCGGACCAAGGAGGATCAGTCGACAGCTGTCCTCGCCATTGCCGGCCCCTTTCCAAATCCAAGGACATCGTGGGGATCACCCCAAAGACACCCCTAAACCCTGAACCCCCAACCCTAAACCCCCACCTTTCTATAGTGGTATGCGGAGCATCTATGAATGACTTCGGAAGGTTCGAGTTGTTATTGGTTAAGTCAATGCTCCAATACCGGTGCGCGACTCTGGAGACTTGCCTTGACACCGTCCAATGTCTGCTGTTTCCCCGAACCCAACGGTAGTAGCCACAACCCGGTCAGGCGTCTCCCTGCGGTCTGACGTTGGTGGTACGCGTCTACGTGGAACCCTGATAGAACCCCATGGGTCTTCAAGCCCGAACCCCCCAAACCTTGGATGCTTGAATTCCAGAACCCCTAAAGGACCCAAGAGCACTTTAAAGAAATTCGTCTTACAAAGGGCAAACCTTCCCAAACCCCTAAACTTTAAACCCTAAACTCCCCAAACTCCCTGAACCCTAACACCTGAAGCCTTAAACTTTAAACCCTACCCACCAAAACCCTAAACCGAAAACCCTTCAGCCCCAAAGCTTATAAGCCCTTAAAGCACAAACCCTTTTTGAAGGATCGCTGGCTACCTGATCTCCCGAGAGGAGGGCTCCGGACTACGAGAAAGAGTGGAACCATGGCTGCCAAGCCGTAAAGTCCTAGGGGTTTGGGTATTGGGGTTTAGGGTTTAGGGTTTGGTGTTTAGGGTTTAGATTTTAGAGTTTAGGGTTAGGTAGTGCTCCCTGTTACGGGCTCCTTGAAGGGATCAGGGTTTCGTTCTCAGAACAAGGTATTATAGAGCCAAGGATTATCCTAGGTAGTATTCGGGAGACCCCTTAAAGGGGACCCACTTCTGGCTCTCTTAAAAGGGACCTTATGGCTTATGGAGAGGGTCTACATCCCCAAGGGTCCCCTTAATCCCAACTCCGATAACGGAACGCCTAGGGGTTTCGGGATTTTTGGGGGTGCTGGGTTCAGCGTTTCGGGTTTCTGGGTTCAGGGTTTTGGGTGTTTGGGTTTAGGGTTTCGGATCTTTAGGGCTTATGGGTTCTTGGGTTTAGGGTTTAGGGGTTATAGAAACTTCCATTATGGGGTTTGCATCGCTGAGGTTTGGCCGAAGCGCGTTTTGACCAAAAGCTTTGACCGAGTTTTTCGCTTTATTTAATATAGGGGCCTTCATAACTAGAATAGGGTTTGGGGGTCCATGATACCACAATTGTAATAAGGAGCCCCAAAAATAGTAATTATTGGTAATTATTTGGGCTCCTACATAAAGCGTCCACAGGATCAGGCTGGGGTGATCGGCAGAGTTGGGTGACTGAAAGTCGTAAACCCAAATCATTTAAACCCAAAGCCCTAAACCCTTAAACCCCTAAACCCTAAACCCCTAAACTCTAAACCCTGTTTAGCCCTTTTGCGCTTCCAAAACGTCGACCAAATCGGTGGCCTGGGCTTGGCTGGTGGGGGTCCTGGGGCTGGGGATGGGATTGCGGGTGGATGAAGGTGAGCTGGGCTGGGGCAACTGGGTTCTGATAGCTGGACGTGAAACCCTACAATTTCTATTTTTGATGGTCTTGAGAGTTTAGGGTTGGGGATTTGGGGTTGGGTTTCGGGTTTGGGGTTTGGGGGTTTGGGTTTTGGGTTTTATGGTTTGGGGTGTAGCGCTGAGGGATCTGGGTTGTTTGATAGGGCTCTTAGTATGTAGGGTTTTCGATTGGGCTAGTATAGAAGCCTAAATTGATTCCCAATCCTGCTGAGTTCTTTCTAAGTATTAGGCTAATCTCCCCCAAAGCCTGTTTACATGTTAGGGCCTCTATGTTGTGGTTTTTCTGGCCATGATGTTGATCTGGTTTATCTAGGGTTTTGAAGGTTTGGGTTTCATTATTGATGGTAGGGTCATGCTTCATAAGCGAATCTCACGATCATTGCTTACGAGGACAGGTTGAAAGGCTTAAGATATATATATATATATATACATAGTCTTATAGTTAAGCTCGAGCTTGTAGTCCGACTCCTGCACTCGGCCCAATCCGCAACCTCCCAATACCTCCGGGTTTAGGGCTTAGGCTGTGGGGTAATCCGCAAGCTCTCAAAACTCCCTTTACCAGGATTTAGCTTAGAGTTTAGGGCTTTTAACCTGCTGCACCCTGAAATCCTTCGAAACGGAACCCTAAATCCTAAACCGTGGCTCTGAACCATGAGAAAACCCTATCAAACCCCCATAGTCAACTTCCTGAAGCTCTTAAAAGGAGAATGGGGAGGATGTCGAGGTATTGTGCAGCTGGAGTCCGGTGGAGGTCAGTTTTGCCAGGGGGAGGGGGTTTAGGGTTTTTGGCTTAGGGTTTTGGGTTTTGGGCTTAGGTTTTTGGGTTTTGGGCTTAGGATTTTGGGTTTAGGGTTGTGGGCTTTGGGTTTAGGATTTTTGGCTTAGGGTTTTGGGTTTAGGGTTGTGGGCTTAGGGTTTTGGGTTTTGAGCTTAGGGTTTTGGTTTTGGGGGTTTTGGGGCCAAAAGAAGGCTTGTATCGGCTAAGGACAGGGTTTGAGGTTTAGGGTTCAGGGTATTGTATCGGTCCTATACAGGTTTTATCATATGGTTTTCAAAACGTTTCTAGACCTCTTTGAGCTAGCGTTGCCTGTTAAATGTGAAGGGCTCTTTGGGCACCTTTAAACTGGAACACTGTACCATGTAGTCATTGGGCCGAAACCTATCATGTTGTGGGGCTTATAGAATAGATAACTTCAAGCTTCACTGTATACAGCCACAGACAATCCATCAAAATCTGAGCAAACCCATACTGTTCGGGGCCTTTTGTGTAACGGCTTGGTTCAGGAATATGCCGTTGAGTACAGAGTGATCCTGAAGGTTAGGGCTTATGGCTTACATGGATCTATTGCTTGGGTGTCGGGTTATGGCGCTATGGGATAGTAGATCCAGAAATATAGCTGAAGTGTCGGAGCGTCTGATAGTGGTCCCGGCAGAGTACGGGACCATTTGAGTCAGCACGCTCAGAGGGAAGCTATGCTTACACGTTTGAAGCCTCCAGCGCTGAAACCCAAGCCCTAAACTCCAGCACCCTAAGCCTCAAACCTTGCAACTAAATCCCAAATCATGAAGCCCTAAACCCTCTGAAGTTGGGGGGTGTTTAGGGCTGCATGATTAGGGCAAAAAGCTGCTATCAGCGTTAAAACAAAGACATTCGAAGCCAAAAGGGCCCAAAAGCAGGTTTGGTTCGAGCTCCCGGGCTACTCTCCAGAGTTTAACGACACACTGACGTTGGAGAATGTCGGTGATGAGGACGTTCTTGGGGGTATACGGCCGAAGGGTGGCAGCCGAACCCTTAGCATGTCTAGTGATATAGGGGCCTTAATGGTTTCAATAGGGTTTTGGGGCCTATTATTCTATACTTATCGTAAAGAACCCCCACAATAGTATTGGTAACTATCTAGGCCCCTGCAGTGAGAAAAACCTTCGCAGTTCCAATATTATACCTCCACGGTCTAGGCGGACTTCTACATTCGCACTTCGCCCAAAGCCCTCACATTGACATTGAGGGCTTCGCAGGTGTCGAGAGTTCGCAGTACTCGGCTTGGGGATTTGGGTTAATGTTCACTCCACCTGCTGCATCAAGGCTTTCATTAATGCCTTGAAGCATTCGAGAGGGGAGATCCCTGCTATTTGACTCGCAGTTTAGGAAAGAGCATGAGGCTTGGCTTCTACAAGGTCAAGCAGCAAGTTGTACTTCAACACGAGCAAAGCCATCTTGTCGGGTCCGTGCAATCCGGTAGGTCGAAAGATCAGGACATGGCGTGGGTGATGGATGTGATCGACACCAACGTGACTTTTGAACAGGACTGCCGAGTACACGAGGGCGGTGTGTGTGTGTGTGTGTGGGGATGGGGGGGGAAGACTTCAGGCGCCGGTTTGTTATTATCATGACAGTGAAGACCGTGACAGACAGTAGCTGCAGATAGTGATGGTGATGAACAGGAGCAGGGGGGGCCGGAGGAGGAGGAGGAGAGGAGGAGGAGGAGGAGGCGGCTTATTGTGATGATGATGACGATGATGGTGATGATCATGCTAATGCCGATGTTGATGTTGATTATGATGAGGATGAAAGCGATGATGAACATGATGTTCATGATGAAGCTGATGATGGCCACGATGACGCTAGTTGGGTTGTTGATGAATGGGTCTATCTTGATGATGTCGGCTACGCCTATGTTGCTGACGGTAGTCATGGCAGTGATGTTCTTTGTGATGACTATGCTGGTCAGGACGATCTTGATCTAGATGTGGAGGATGGTGACGACGACGGTGATGTTCGTCGTTGTCCTTGCTTTTTAGTTATGCGTGTTTCATGAGAGCTTGTGCGGCTGAGACGGCCATTGGGAATATAAGGAGACCCTAACTAAGCAGGTTGCCGTCCGGGGCTCTTCAACACCTACCACATCTTCAAAAGCCTCAGTCCTAAGCCTTAAACACCAAACTCTAGATTGCAGACGGAAGAAACAACTATTAATAATCAATGATCCGTTTAGTCCTTGGCAAGGGTGCTCATAACCCCGGAGATATCGCAATGTGCCCACATCCCCCATTCTAGTTAACTACTACGACCTTTCTACTCTTGATGTCAGCAGATCCTCGAAGTCCTTTTGCTGAATTCTGAAACTTAAAAGACCGAAAAGCCTTCAAGCCCTAGATGTTCACCACGTTAACCGCCTGCTCCCCAAGCCCCAAACCCTAAACCCCCAGACCCAAAGATCCCCCAAGCCTGAACTGTGAACCAGGATCCATTTTTTGCTTCCGCCATCGTGCCGGCACCTGCATCTTTTAGCTCGGGAGGAGCTACCGGGGGTGCGGAGGCAGGAGGGCACGGCACAGGGTTTTAGGGTGTTGGGGCTCGATGTAGTCTAAGAGAGTTCAGGGCTTATTCGAAGGGGTTAAGAATGAGCAACAGTATCCCGATAGAGACCATCTGTAATTAAAGGCGTAAACATAAGTATAGTGCAAGATCCCCCCAAACTCTGTTCGAAGTTAAATCCCATGAATAGACTGGAGGTTAAGGAAGGTTTTTTTGGCGGTTTAGGGCTCTGGAAAACTTGGTTCGGCATGATGGTGAAGGGCAAGCGCGAAGCTTTGAATCCTCCTAGCACCAGTTCAGTAGAGTTTAGAGTTAAGCGTCTCCGCGAACGAGTAGTATAAGCCTATAAGCCCATGAGCTGAGGTAGTAGCACGGGAAAGCGTTGCCGACAGTCAGCTGGATGTGACGATAGTAATAACAAGGACAGTACTATAGGAATAATCATGCGCGTTTCTAAAAGAAGTTAAACCCCTGAGCACTAAAACTCCCCCAAACCCTCTCCCCTTAATCCTGAACCCGCCCCGCCAAAACGCAACAATGCTCTGAATGTCATGAAGCCAGGTTTGGTACAATTTTTCGGCGTTCAATGGCTCCGCAGCCGGGCAGAAGCGTTTAGGGCTTAGGGCTGGGGGCTTAGGGGTTCAGGGTCTTAGGGTTCAGGGTTTGGGTTGATGCTCTCTTCCTGCATGCTTTGAAGCCTCTCGTGTCGCAGTATGCCCTTAGAGTTTGTCGAAAGTCCGATGATCTGGGTGTTAAAACGGCTAACGCGTTTAAACTTGACGTGTTAGATTATTGCGGCATTGAGTTTCCCAACCCTACCACGCGACGGTCCAGGACCTTCAAACCCTGGACTTTTGTGCAAGCTGATTGCAAACTTCACAGTAATCCTTAACACCTAAAGCACCCGAAAACGTAAACCCCCAAAACCTTAAACCCCAAACCCCCGAACCCCCTAAAGCCCTAAACCGCTAAGCCCTGAAGCCTGATATATCCCACCGAGGCCCAAGTCCAGGTAGCCTATTGGCGGTTTGGGTTTGGGGGTTAGAGGGTGCCTGCAGCCAGTGTCCCGGACACGGAAACCAAAGAAACGCAAAAAGGGGGGTTCCGAAAATAGCGGGGGGCCCTAAAAAAGTAGCCCAAATAGTAGGATCCTTATTATAAGGACCCAAAAATAAGGTACCCCGTATTTTCGGAAACTCCCACATCCCTTAGCCTTAAAGCCGAAACCCTCAACTCGCGGTTTCGATGCGAAAGCCTGCTAAGGTAGAACTGGACGACGAGGCTGAGCTGTTGCCCTTGCCCTTCGCTTTTCCGCACTACCTGGAGTATCACGAGAGTGCTTGGGTCCAAAGTAGAGGATGAGAAGGGATTTAATATAGGGGCTCAATGACCTACACTGTTTTTTTGTTGTTTTTTTTGGGGGGTCCTTATCATAATTATAGTTGAATATACCCCCAAACCCTATTCTTATTTTTAAGGCCCCTATAGTAGTACCCAAGTGTATAGGTAGCTGAATAGGGGAGTTAGTTAAGCAGGCTATATGTAGCAGACTTGGGGTCAAGATTGCATACATGCCCGGTTACCTTGTTTCTGACTCTGATCACTATGTCGCATGATGCTTTACAGGTCCCGCAAGGATTTTGCTTAAAACGATGCTTGATCTGCACGGGCTTTCTTTAAGGGCTTGCACAGGTAGCCAGAATTGCTCCGAGAAGACCACTTAGGTGCCTGGGTGTCCTGCAATGGGGCGCTCATTTTGGACCCGGTTTTGGATGCCACTTGGCTTGTGTCAAGAGATCCTCGTCCCTAAACCCCAAACCCTACGGGACAAAGGGGTTCAACGAACACAAAAACAACCCTAAGCCCTGAACCCTAGAGAGCCTAAGCCTCCTTAAATTCCCTACATGAACTTAACCCGAAACCGCTGAATCCTAAACCGGAATGAAACCCTATCACACGGAACCCAAAGCTCAACCCTGTCGCTTTTCACCCTAAAGCCACTATGAGCGAGACTTGTTTTCCCAAAAGACCCTTTGTCATTATAGATTAGCCCATATACAAAACCCTTATTATTCGCCGTATGAAGTGGTCGGCAATATCAGGAGCGACATGTGTCCATGTTCGATTCTTTCCTCAAGACCATTCCCCAGAATTCCTTCCTATGAGTCTGGTATTATGTACTCCAACAGCCGAGTCTTTGATATTGAGGCCAATAACTATACGACCCGTCGTAGGAGTCGTTTTGAACCCTTTTCAAGACGAAATCCTTGAAGGAACCCTGATGCCTCAAGCCGTGACACCCAAGGACATCACTAGAAAGGCGGCAATCTTGGGCTCGGGTGTGGGGCCTCATGACGTACTCGCTGCAATGTGGGCCGATATGACCTGCCCGCAGGAGATTCTGGGAGGGCCTGCTGTTAAGGACATGCTGTTGAGTGTTTAGGGTTTAGGGCCAGTTTAGGGATTAGGGCTTCAGGGTTTAG